CCCTTGAATTTGGTGGACTAAAAACTCGAGCAAAAAAATATGGCGACGGGTCTCCCTTCACTTGTCATTCCTTCTCAAGTTTGTGAATAATGTGTTGTTAGCAAACAACAACATACTCCATTTCCACAAGGGAAGTCATGGAGAGCAAGGAACATGTTGGAACTGGTGTACTCTTATATTTACGGACCCCTCAATCCAACATCCAATGGTGGTAAATGTTTTTTATAATATTTATTGATGATTATACTCGAAAAATCTGAGTATATTTTTTACAGAAAAAAATGCATCTTTTGAAGCTTTTAAAAGTTTTAAAGCACTTGTTGAGAAAGAAGTTGACAGTCCTATAAAAGTTTTTCGTTCAGATCGTGAGAGAGAATATAACTCACATGAATTTGCAAATTTTTGTAAACTTTATAGAATAAGGAGACAACTTACAGCAGCTTATTCACCCCAACAAAATGGAGTTTACGAGAGGAAAAATCGCATAATCATGAACATGGTGCGAAGTCTATTGACGAGCAGTGGAGTTCCAAAAAGTTTCTGGCCTGAAGCAGTCAAGTGGAGTATTTACATCTTGAATAGAAGTCCAACATTTGCACTTCAAAACATGACTTCAGAGGAAGTATGGAACGGACAACAGCCTGCTGTAAATCACTTCAGAATCTTTGGGTGTGTTGCATATGCCCATGTTCCAGATTAAAAAAGAAAAAAACTAGACGATAAGGGAGAGAATGCATTTTTCTTGGTGTTAGTGATCAATCAAAAGCGTATAACCTTTATAATCCTAGCACTAAGCAAATTCTCATCAATCGAGACATTTTTAATGAGAATCAGTTCTGATGATTGGACAAAATTGCTTCTGGAGAACAAATCCCAACAAGCTTTAATGGAGAAAATGGTTTAGAAGCAAATCAGCCCAAGTAATAGCATGTTATAACAGAAGTTGCCTCTGAAAATGCCCAAAATGAACCAGCTATGGATGAGCAAAATGAAAAAGTAGTTGATTCGCGTTCTCATCGTGTTCGAAGAAGGCCAACATGGATGTCAGATTATGAGGTAATTGGAATTAATCAATCTGAAGATCTTCTCACCCGTTTTGCATTATTTGCAAATTATGATCCCCTTACATTTCAAGAAGCTATCAAAAATTTAAAGAACAATACATGGGAATTGGTAGAGCTTCTGAAGGGGCAAAAATCCATTTGGGTTAAATGGATTTACAAAACAAAGCTAAACAAAGATGGCAGAATAGACAAGTACAAAGCGCGACTTGTTGTGAAGGGGTACAAACAAGAATTTGGAGTTGACTATAAGGAGGTGTTTGCTCCAGTTGTAAGGTTGGATACAATTCGATTGGTGTTGTCCATGGCTGCACAAAATTCATGGTTTATTTATCAATTAGATGTGAAATCAACTTTCTTGCATGGTGAACTGCAAGAAGAGGTATATGTTGATCAACTCCTTATATATGTGAAGAAAGACAGTGAAGAAAAGGTATATAAATTAAAAAATACTTTGTATGGACTAAAGCAAGCTCCAAGAGCTTGGTATGGCCGTATAGATGTCTATTTTGCTAAAAAAGATTTTCTGAAATTTCCTCATAAACTCATATGTTGATGATTTGATATATACCGGGAATGATGAAGTCATGATTGATGTATTTAAAAAAAAATATGATGACTGAATTTGATATGAGTTATTTGGGATTAATGCATTATTTTTTCAGTATAGAATTTATGCAGTCACTAGTGGACATTTTTGTTTCACAAAACAAGTATATTCTTGAGATTTTAGACAGGTTCAGAATGAAGGATTGTAATTCAGTTTGTACTCCAACTGAATTTGGTTTAAAGTTGATGAAAGATGAAGAAGGGAAGAAGATAAATGCCAACTTGTACAAGCAAATGGTAGGGAGTTTGATGTATCTAACTACAACCAAACCTGACATCATGTATGGTGTTAGTTTAATTTGGAGAATCCCACTGAGAATCATCTCTCTGCTGCAAAAATTTTTTTTGGTTACTTAAAAGACACGGTTGATTTTGAAATTCTTTATGCAGCTAAAACCACAAAAAAATTGATTGGATTATCTGATAGTGATTTTTCAGGTGACTTGAATGATAGGAAAGGTACATCTGGATTTGTTTTTCTGATGTGTTTTGGGTTTGTGTCATGGACATCGAAGAAACAATAGATTGTTACTTTGTCTAGTATAGAGGCTGAGTTCATTGCAGCAGCAACATGTTCAGGGCAAGCTATCTGGTTGAGAAGATTGCTTGAAACACTCCATATCCAGCAGCAAGGTTCCACAACAATCTAATGTGACCATGTTTCAACAATCAAACTTTCCAAAAATCCTACTTTACATGGAAGAAGCAAACGTATTGATGTTAGATTCCATTTTCTTCGTGATCTATGCAACAATGGCACAATTGATTTGAAGTTTATAGAAGTCAAGATTAGGTGACAGATATTATGACAAAACCACTCAAGCACGCTGTATTTGTTAAACTTCGGGGAATGCTTGGTGTATGCTCCTCAATTGAAGTAGCTCAAGACCTAACTTTGCTTATTTAGAATTGTTAGAAGTTAAGTTTTAAAACGAGGTCAAAAGCATGCATCACACTACTTAGTAAATATTTTCAAAAAAAAAAAGAACCAAATGATTAAATACAACAACGTCTGTAGACAGCGAGCACATGCTAGAATTTCAAGATCACCACAGCGGTTTTTTTAATGCTCAAAATATGCGCTTTATATATCAAACAAACAACTTTCTTATTCCTGCTAAAATTTAAAGAACTCAATAGTTGTATCTCAATTGAAAGATAAATTCCTGCAAACACGATTTTATAGAATTAAACCAAAACCAAAGGAGACGATTCACAAATTCAAGCAACACTAAATTATTACCATTTCAAAAAGAAATATCACTTGAAATTCCAAACCTTATTTTATTTTAAAAACACGAGGGAAAAATATAGTCACTGAGTCAAATATCCTTCACTATAGTAATCTCAAACTATGACTCTAAACACTAACTTCAATTTAGTTCTGAAAATAAGAAAAGGATATACACATTTAATTGCTTCACCACATTCATATTAGATTTCTTTCTCATTAATCCAGTGAATCAAATACATAAAAGCTACTCATTTTGTCCAATCAAGCTAATTCAGAACAAATTTGAAATCAACGAAAATTGAGTAAAATCAATTACAGGACATATTACCTTTCCCGGAATTCTCTTTCCCTTCTCTCTGCTGGCATTGCTTCACTCCTCTGCTCAGAAATCTTCTCTGTTTTCCTCCACTATTTCCCTCCTTTTTTGTTACTCAAGCGCCCTCCCCCTTTCACGCATATAGCCCTCTGTTTCAGATTTTCCGCTCTCTCAAACCCGAAGAAGAAGTGTCCAGAAGGAACCCGAAAGCTCCTTCCTTTTTCTCTTCTCTCTCTCTCTCTCTCTCTCTGTTTTCGCTCTCCCCTCCCAACTTTCTTTTTATTCCTTTTGTAGCCGAAACCCACATTTCCTTCTCAGTCTCTCTTCTATCAAATCCCATTCCCCCTTTGTTTCTGGAGTCAACTGCCTAAATCCTTCCTTTGACGCTGCTCTCTGAATTTTTGCCTTGGTGAATGGAGCTTGGGTCCCGGAAATCAACTCCTCATATCTTTGCTTCTATCATCTTCCACCCGTGACTATCATCTGAGTTTCGCAGCTCTCTCTGCCATTTCTGGGTCCAATAATATATTTAATTGATATTAATATAAAATATTTTTTGAAGTTAAAAGTTTCTAAAATAAATTAAAACAATTATTTTAAAAATAAAAAAATATAATTTCTGAATAAGAAATTAGAATTTAAAACTAAAATTATATATTATCATAAAAAATTAAAATGCTACTATTTATCTAGATCATAAGTTGATAAAAATAGTTGCATTAAACTTGTTTATCTCCATGTTCTTATGATATTTTCTGTTTTATAACTTAATTAATATATTTTTTTATCTTGATAAAAATTTTATATTGTTTGACTTTCTTTTTAATTTTAGCTTGCTTTTCGAAAAGTAATAATTTATACAAATAATAATGTTATTAAATTATAAATAACATGAAATAAATTCATAGTTTAAAATGATGATGTGCCTTAAATAAAATTTAATGTACATAAATTATAGATTACAAATTGATGTATAAAAAATTATAAACATGCATACGAACCCCTTTCAGGACAAGAGCCCATCAATTTCCATCCAAAACAAGAGTTCCAAAAGATGAAAGTGAAAACGACGTCGTTACATTCTTCCCTTAAAGGCTTCCTCTGCCTCCCAGTTGTCAACAGTCAATTCCAAAACCCCTTGGATCTTTTGCACCACCGTAAGTAAACCTTCAAAATTGCCGGGAATGCAACGGTTCTCTGGAACCCTAATATCTCTGGTCTCTTTGTCATCTCAGATATTAACCTTCTCTGTCTCCGATTCGCTCTCTCTCTCTCTCTCTCTCTCTCTCTCTCTACCACTCGTTTCTCAGAAAGATTCTCGAGAAACAAGCTCCCGCCCGCTAAAACCCTAAACCCCGTTCCATGCTCTGTAAATGGAGACCGCTCCAGTTTCCCCAAAAATCTCACATTGTCGCTTCTCTTTCTTCCCTCATCTTCACTAAACCCTCAGTCTCTGTCGCAAAACTCGATGCCGACCCCCTGACCACCGCCACCGCCACCACCTTCATCTCTTCAAATCCCAGCGACACCGTTCACAATATCCTCGCGGGGTTGAAAGAATTGGGGTTTAGGAGATTTCTAGGCGGGCATTACTTTAGAGGCGTTGTTTCTATGTTGAATCAGTGCCAGGTTGATAAGATCATCGACGGGTTGAGGCTTGAGAGCCCTGATTTGGCTGTTGCATTCTTCCATTGTCTGAGGGATGAGTATGGTTTCCAGCACTCGAGGTTTTCGAGGCTTGTTGTTTGCCATGTTTTGGCGGGAAAGAGGCGATTCCGAGACCTTCGGTTGTTGTTAAAGAAAATGCTGCAAGAGGAAGGTGCATTATGTTATTTTCTTTTACGTGTTTTAATTGCGTTCTTGTTTACGTAAAAGAAGGTCTTGGTAGTCCAAACTTTGGAAAGTGAGGAAGAAATTGATGTTTTGATCCCTAAGTTTCTATCTGGAAATCGTGGAAGTATCAATTTGGAGTTGACACTTTCGAAATTGTTGTAATCTTCAACATTAAGGGAAAATTTGTCCGATGTTTTTCTGTATTGACTAAGACTATATTTGGAAGAAATCTTTGAACTTTTATAAAATTGCACTCGTTAGTTAAAATCTTTTCACATATAGTAAAAATAAACTCAGTACAAATTTCTGGGTAGGATTTGTGGGAAAAAAATTAGATTTCAACAAATTTTGCATATCTCTTGGGTAAACTAAATATGGGTTTAAAATGAATTCCACAAATTTCGGGATTTGTTAGAAACACAATCCATCGGAAGAAACTGGGCCTGAGGATGGTAACGATACAAGCAGCCTTTAAAAGATTAAATTCTTGTAAGATTCAGCTCAAAATTTATCTGTTTGATTCACTGCTCCTAATATGAGAAAGAATTTCCTTGCAATCTGATAACACGACCTTTAAAATAACGAAATTTTTTATTGTTGAGATTTTAAATGTTGCTTCTGTTTTTTGTTTATAGATTTCATGTGATTTCTGGTA